CCCCGTCAAGGTCCACATCGCTACAGCACATCTCGAGTCGACCAAAAGCTTTGGTAGAGCGAGAGTTGATCAGCTCAAGGTGGTCCACTCATTGGTTGCTGTCATTTTCGTCATCCTCAGGAGTCTTTCTCCGACATGCGTCGCTCCGTCGGCCACAGCAAATCACATTTGGCGATTTTCGGAGGAGACCTCAACATCCGAGACGACGAGGTCCGGCAGGCCCTCCTCCTCCCCAACGGGTCCAAGAAAGTCGACATTATCGACGCCTGGGAAGTTGGTGGAAACTCTTGATAGCAGTGACGATGGGATGATGTGTTAGGCCAGTGGACGGCCAAAGGACTCTGAGTTCACTTGGGATATGCGGATAAACGATAACTTGGGTATAAAGGGAAAGCCGAAAGCGAGGTGGACCCCTATGGAGGCAACTCGTGTTGATCGATCGCTTGGGCAGATTCGATCGTCTATACTTGGCCAACTCGGATACCATGAAGGTGTTTCCACAGGGCTTCCGACTCACAGGGACTACACGGTGTGATATGGATGAGGTCAAGGGGAAGAAAAGATTCCCAAGCGACCATTTTGGTATACAACTTGAATTGAAAATAGAGATGAAAGAGGAGAAAATCATCGACTTGAGTGATGATAATTGAATGTTTTTATATTCACTGTGGTTGAGTTCTTCTTCATCAGTTCCGACACAACTCAATACCACAATTAGAACGATTGTTGCCAATCACATGCTAATCAGCACGAGGCAGTTGAGCTCTACACACCCCTTGTATGACAGGGTTGCTGTGATCAACTTGTCGCATAAATCAACTGTAGTAAGGCCCTCTGATCGCGGCCTCCTACCTTCCAAGAACCCTCAACGCTATGAAAGTTTCACTCCTACACCCGTCCATAACACAACAGCTATATACAATGTTAGAACCTCATCCCAAGATGATGGTATCGTCATCGATGAACTCATATCTAAAGACCAGTTGGTATCACCGCTACTACTACTACTACTACTACTCCCTTTTACGAGTCCTTACGTTGGTATCTCCATGTTTAATGGAGCCGGGCCAAGCCTAATCCTCCCAGAATGATCATAATGGCTACCATGACAAGGGCAGAAGTATCCACCATAGTGCCTTGGTCGGGGTAAGGACACAGCCGAGATGGGTACACACTCCGAGCATGACCAACCACTCC